TGGTTCATCTGGTCCCTTCTAAAGACCAGGACGTTTGCCCAGTTTCACAAGTTCTAGCTCTATTTTATAAGTCTAGTCTTTACAGTAGCATTGTCGAAGGTTCGAGTTACCTCTCTACTCAGGTCTTCCAAGTAGGCTTCCATCTTCCTACCTGGTTTCTTTGATTTACATGGCCTAAGGACTTATCTTGGGTTTACACCATCCAGTACTGGTTTGTGTTCCCTTATACAATGTTGTATGAGTGCCTTAGACCTTTCAGTCAGACTAATATGATACGGGTTACAGGTATCCTATTCCAACCAATCATGGAAGACAGTTAGTTGTAACACAGAAAGAATTGCAAATTTTCGCCATTACTGGGATTTGAACTCTAGATCTGCCACTTGGGGGTTGACAACCTATTCACTTCACTAGGTCACCACACCCAGGGCAATATAGTTGTAGAGTGAAAATATTTTGAATTTTGTAAAAGTATTGTTTAAGCAATTTGTAAGCAGTTTGATGTAAAGTTTTTTAGTATGCTTAAGAAGACTAATAGGTCTTGTGTTAGTAAAATTACCATTAAAGATTAGTTTTTTGGAGATTGAAAAGATTCTGCCTTTTTTCCATTGTTTTGGTATATGGTTTGTAAAGATACATCTATTAAAAAAAGTAGTAATTGCTAGAAGAAATAGTGAGCCTGCATTTTTGAGCATTTTATAACTAATGCCTGAAGGGCCATAAGCTTTATTGTTTGGAAGTTGAGCTAATATTAAATTAACTTCATCAGTAGTAAATTTGAAAAGAGTGTTGTTATACCATTTAGAGTTTATATCTGATTTGGGGTTGTATTCATTTTACCAGTCAGATTCATATATTTGTTAGTTAATATATTGATTTAATCAAAGTGTTGTTAGATATGAAGTTTAATATTAGGTGTATTAGTAATAAGATCACTAAGTAAGATCCTGAGTTTGACAGGACGGCCCTCTTGAAGTCCGGTTACATGATTGTAATCTACATTCTGCCAAATACTCATCTACTATTATATATTTTGCAAAGTATAGACATTTTGAATTATTATCCATCATGTAACCAGATTTCAAGGAGGCCACCCTGTCGAATTTGTAAGATCCTCATGAGGCTATATATTTATAGTTTTTTTTAACATTATTATAGTTGTGTGGATTAATAAAAAGTATAAGAGGATCATAAAGACGATGCAAAACATTAAAGCTATCTAATGAGCTAAAGCCAATTCTTGATGTAGTAACATGGTGGAATTCCACCTTCGATATATATGAGCAGGCACTAAAACTACGTACAGTATTAAATGCTATGTCATTTTCTGAAACAGAATTACATCCATATATTTTGGCTGATAATGAGTGGAAAATAATAGAACTTCTTGTTGAAGTTTTATTACCCTTTAAGGATGGTCAGTATATTTTCAGTATAGATAAATAGTTGACTTTGAATATAACAAACTTTTATATAATGAATTTTGAATATAACGAACCTTTAATTTTGAAAATTCATAATTCAGTATAGCCTTTAAGACAACATAGCAATTTTCTATAATGAACCTTTTTGTCTTTGAGAACTATCAGTTCATTATAGAAAGAGTTTACTGTAATTAAAAACATATGTAATATGAAATTTTATAGAGTATAAGCATTTACTCAGTTTAATTTGTATTTAGTAACCACGTTTATGTCATCATCAGAATATCCAACATTGTCAATGGTTATCTCCGTCTATTATTTATTGCTTGAATCGCTTGAAGAAGCTAGAAAAAAAGATGATATGCCACAGTGGCTTATTCAAGGATGTGAATCTGCATCTGGTAAACTTCTCGAATATTGCCAAAGGACAAGTGTTTTACATATTGTGTCAGTTGTGCTAGATCCACAGTTTAAACTTCAATACTTTGTAGAACTTAGATGGCCATCTCAACTTATTAATCAAATTAGAGATATGTAAGTATTTATATAAAAGTTGCGATTAGAGATTTGATCAGTTAGTTATTTGAATAACTAAATATTGATTAAAAAATTTAAATGAATATCTAATATATCTATTGAATATTCATTAAAATATATATATCTAATGCTATACTAATACTATTAAAGCTATAACATTTGTTCTTTTTAGTATTTTAGTTTTTATATATAATATATATATATATATTTCTTTCATATGATTTTAATATCTTGTAAATTAATGGTAGTTAATGTGGAAGTGGCTAATCATAGAAAAAACAAACTTATCATGTGATTAAATTTAGATATAGTAAAACCTCTATTAGAATTTCCTGAAGTAGCTTATCATGAAATGAGCAAATATGAAAATTACCATATTAGAATTTGAATCAAATAATGCATGGACACTAGTAAATCAGAGATGTCACAGTATATAGCATAGGCCATTGGATGTATATGCTTATCTAAGCAGTCATGGAAAAACTTATTAGAATTAGTAAAAATAATCTTTAAATTTAGAGTTTAGCATATTTTATTCAACAAATAAGATACCTTAAAGTGGACAGATTTATAATTAATAGTATTTATTTTACTATTGTAATTTGTTATTGAATTTTTGTTAAGCTTAATTAATGAATACTTTTATAATAATTTATATAATATTTAAGTGTTAAAAACAAGTATAAAGATCAGTATGCACCTTTTTTCAATCAGGAAGCAGTAAGCTTAAGCACAGAACCATCTCAAAGTATCATATCATGAACCTTTAAATGAACATGTACAGAACAGCAAAATGAACTTGGAACATATTTAATTACACCACTTGTAGATGAGCATACAGATATTTTAGATTAGTAATGCACAAATGAAAGCTGTTATCCGAATTTTGCAAAATTTGCTAGGGATTGCCTTGCAATATCTGCCACGGGTGTCTCAAGCAAGTAAACATTTAGCATTAGTGGTGATATGTTAACTAGTAAGCGAAATAGATTGGATAAAAAAACTGTACAAGCAGCAATGTGCTTGAGATCATGGTAGAGAGAATTAGATTAAAATATACATATAGCATTCAGATCAAAATTTCTAATTTGAATTTGTGAAATTTAAGCTTTGTATCTTAATAAATTAATAAATTAAAATCTAAAATAGTTTTTTTTAGCAGTATTGATTTATAAAAATTTGGATTTATACTTTTATTATGCTATTATAATTCTAAGTGTTTTATTATGCAACCACAATTTATTTAAATTTTATGGACCAGACCGGACTCAGACCTACATTATACAGTTTTAGATTCTAACTTGAATCCGATTTGGTTTTCAGGTCAGACCCAGATTTTTAAAAATACCTGCCTGATCCAATTCATGTAGAACACTATATAATATATAAAATATTGTATATTAGACAGAAATATTGTTTGCATATTGTATTATTGAAACTTAGAATTAATATAAGTTATTAGAAGCTCATAATATATATACCAAAGAAGTAATATAATTGTTAATTCTTGGTCTATACTATTTTGAATATAATAACTAGATATAGAATTAAGACTTATAATAACAGAGTTGTATCAATTATTATATATATTAATTATAAGTTATTATATATTTTGAAGAATTTTAATTGACTTAAAGCATATTAAAGAAGTAAGATATGTACAGAATTATATGCCTTATTCATGTTTTGAGTCATGAGCTATATTTTTTTGTTTTGTACTTGTATTTCTTAAAGTGTGTTTGTAAAAATTTGTATAGATTGTATTGTAAAAAAATAAGGTAAAGCTACAAAGTTGTGTAGATCTAGAATAGAGTATTTGAATATTATTTTAATAAGTTGATTGGTAATAATTTTAGTATAACTTTCAAACTTATCAATTTGAACCAAAATTTATAATGTTAATAATTTATAATTTATTTATATTAAATTATAAATAAAATATTTAATATACTTCTCTTAAAAAGTTTATTTGTGAATCAAATAAAGTTTTAAGTATAACTATAAATAATATTGTATATAATTGTGTAAGCTTACTAGAAGAATATAAAACTGTTCTTTTACTATCTAACTATATTGCAGAAAATACAATGCCAAATCTTTTTTTATTAATTATTTGAATATTATATAAACTATTAAAAAAAATTTCATTTATGTGTTTTGTAGTTTTAAATTAAAATCTTTAATTTATTTGTTAAGATTCTTATTTTTATTTGTTCATTCTTGTATTGGCTTTTAAGAGATGCATATCTTAATACCAAGTATAAGTTGTATTGTATTACTTGCAATTTGTACATATATTATATTCATAATTTTTTTATAACTAAATTTATTAAATATCAACATATACTTATTTGTGACTATATATTAGATTAACTTATAAATACTTATATTTTTTAATTGACTTAATTGATACATTAATTGCTATATTAAATATATATTAGTATATTAATATACAAATTAAGCATACAGATTAAAGAAGCTACTTATCTGATTTAATGTCTAATCAGATATCTGATATAATAAAATAATACAAACTTTTAAATTATTTGTGTTTGTGTCAATATTTTAATTTTTATTTTACATAATAGTAAATATGACTTTATATATTTATATTTATATCAGAAACAGAGTATGAAGTATGTAGTATATAGTTTATAAGCAAGTTAATATGCATATGCAATTCTTAGCACTTAATTAATCTGTATAACTCTATTCATTACATATTGTTATTAGAGTTGTAAGATATAAGTTACAAACTTATCTTACATGTAAGTTATATATAAATTATATTCAAAATTTATAACATATAGTAAGTTATTAAATAATACAATAAATTAACCAATCAAATTAATATATATTAATATTATATATAGTATATATATAAAGTAATAAAAAATATAAGTCTTAAGAACTAGAACTGTTAATTAATCTGGTCTAAACTAATAATACTTCAATTTATTCAAAAGTTAGATCTATTAGTTTTAATAATAAACTAAAAATAAAGAAAAATAATTTCCTTTAAATAAACTGATTTGCAAAAATACTTTATTATATATTCATATTAATATTTGATTAAATGTTAAAATAAATCAAAAATTTTTTTCAAAAATCAATATACAGTAATAATAATATAATCTAAATGCATTTATAGTTATTATATTTTTTAAAAACTAGTTATAGGCTGTTTTTATTCAAGAAAAAACCAGACATTCTCAAATGTTAATCAAAAGATAATTGTATTTACACCCTTTCACAATACTATACAAAGTTGGTTTTTTATTTGAATTATATGAAATCTGAAAATTGAGTTAGTTAGTTGGATTTTTTTTTTTTAAAAAAAAAAAATTGATTAGCATTTAATATAAAACAAAAAATCAAGTTTGCATAGCCTAAAATTTAATCAATTGCAATGTTTTGTAAAGTAACATCATTAAATTGTTATATAACTATATACTTGTAATATTTATTATTCTGTTTCTGATATATATTTTTATTATTATCAGTCATGATATTTGTAATTACATTACTGCAATTAATTTTTTATAATCTTAGTATATATTACGCATGATAAAATAATATATAAAAATTAAAAATAATGTGTGACAAATAGAGTTACCCAAACCAATCAAATCTACAACTTTGCAGAATAATATTATTTAAATTGATGTATAACCATATATTTCATGATATTTATTACTCTGTTTCTAGCATATAAAATATTATTTACTAATACTAACACTAATTATAATTTGATTTATAGAAATTAAGATATAGTTATCAACAAAAGTAATGCTTGATTTTGATTCTGTAACTGTTTTCAAATAAATACATATTGCTTATCTTCTTATAGCAATTTGTAAAACAAATTTTTTTTTTAGACTTCTTATGAAGTATTTATAAAAAAAAACCTAAATATAATATAAGCATAACTAGCACTTTAATAACAGATAAAGGCAAAGAAGAAATCTTAGCTTATATTAAATATATGAGTATTCAGCAAGTTGCACAAAAGATAATGCATAACTTCACCACAATTTGAAGGTTTCTTACCAAGTACTAAAGAACTAAGAATATATCAAATTTGCCAAAGTTTAAAAGACCTATGCCTTCAATAATAAAAAAAAACACTCTAGTAAAAGCAACTCTGAAAAAAAACACAAGCTTTTGCATGACCTTGTTAATGATTTAAAGCTTAAGTACAATTTAAAAACTGCTTTTTAAGCTCTGCAAAGTTTTGATGTTGGATCTTATATAGAAGCAAAACAACTATTCTTTAAGAAATATAATATAAAGAAAAGGTTTGAATTGTATTAATAAAATGTATCAAAAAGTATCTATAATTGACAACATGTAATTTTTTCTGATAAAACATCTGTTAAGCTTAGTAAACAATTATGTCAAATTAGAATATAGCATTTCAAAAATAAAAGAAATAAAAATAAGTGCTTAATCTTGAGTTTTAAGAGTGCTAAGTAGTTAATAATAGTATAAGATTGTTTTGTTAATAAAATTAAATATCCTCTTATTTTTTTTGATAAATACAAATGACTAAAAAAAAAATTAATAAAAAAATATATATTAAACTTTTGAAAAATTATTTACTATTATTTTATAAAAAAGCTAAAGCATCTTGTTCATTAGTAAGTACAAAAATAATGTTTCAATAAAACAATATGCTAATATATAAAGTATCTGATTGGTTTAAAAACAAAAAATCTTTAAATTAAACTGATTTGCAAGATTTTCTAACTTTAATTTAAATAAAAATATTTAGAAAATATTAAAAGATAATATTCAGAATTAGGAAGACTTTTTAAGAGAAATAGATAATCTTAAAATTATTCCGAAAAAGTGTAGTCAAAATTAAATATAGCAGTTTTTTTGAAGTCTATAGACTCAGTTTTAGAAAGAATCAAAGCAGTATTGGAAGCATTGCAAATATTGATTAGCTAGAAAAATATATATATATATATATTGTAAAAATGAAAAAGACTATGTATT